TGCAGTTGGAACTGTTTGAAAGAAACTGAGAGAAAATGGTACGGGTCCACTAACATGAAGCGCACTATAAGCGGGGAAAGCTCATATGAAGCTTAAGTGGAGTTCGCCCATTAGACTTATAAGGTGAGTCTATTTTATATGTATGAAAGGTGGGTAAACGGATACGTCATCGCACGGTCGTACATAGAACCGACTCTGATACCATAAAAGAATCTGAGGGAAAACAGGTGCGGTCCCACTAACATGAAGCACACCATAAGCGGGGAAAGGCCATATAAAACCTAAGTGGGGTTCCATCCGAAAACCAATTAGTGAAATGAGGAGTAGTCCATTACACTTATAAGGTGGGTCTATTTTCTATATATGAACGATGTGGGACAACTCATAAATGTTATTCTAACACTGTTAATCTACACGTGTATCACTCGTGAAATCGATTTGACTTGAGTTCGGCTCGACTAGTTTGATAAACAAGTCGAGCTCGACCTTATTGAAAGCTCGTTTAATTAACGAGTCGGTTCAGCTAGTTATAGCTCGAAAGAAAAATATATATATATATAATTTCATATATTTTGGTTAGTTAATGCTCGAGTTCAGCTCGAAACCAATTAATTAATATTGATAAATGAGATGAGCTTGGTTCGGTATGCAATTCATTAAAGGCTCGAGCACCATGAGCTAGAGTGCGGCTCGATTCGACTCGTTTACAGCCAGTGAATGCTCCCATGAATTGCACACTTTAAATAATAAATAAATTTAAACCATACTGTAATGAGTAGTTAAAAATGTACATATCTGACCATTATATTTTCAAATATTTATCATAATGCCATTACATGTTTGATTTCATTATTAAAATTTGATTTGATCATGACCATTTATTTACTAGATCTCAAGGCCTACATTAATTCTTATAATTTCTTTCACTATCCATCTTTCTCGTACAGTGCTATCTCATATCGATTATATAAAAGTATGAGTGTTGGTGGTTATATAACATATTGTATATATACACACACAAACCCACTCAATCACTCGCAGTTATAATTTGCAACTGGGTAGTTTTTGGGCTTCATCATCTTTCTCGTTTCTTCTGTTCATTTATTTAACCAAAAATAGCAGTTTCCAACAATGGATCTGCAAAACCTGGCCAACAATGGCGTCAATGGGAACCTGACATTTATACCCCCACAACTGAATCTCCACGCGCGAGATTTCAGGGGCGTTTTCGGTACGGAATTCGCTCGCGACAAGCGGGAAAGTGAAGAAATCAAAGGACGAAAAATTGGGCGCGCAAAACTATGTTCCAGAGGCCATTGGAGGCCACACGAGGATGCCAAGCTTACAGAGCTCGTCGCCAAATTTGGCCCTCAGAATTGGAATCTCATCGCCGATAAACTCCATGGACGATCAGGTTTTGAGCTCTGTTTTGTTCCGTAATATTTTCAATTTTTTGAATTGTTTTTTGGTGGAGAATTTGGAGTATTTGTTTGGCTTTATTTCGAAATCTCGATCTCTGTGTTTATCGATTTTTGGTTTTGATTTTTGATTTAGGGAAAAGTTGCAGGCTCAGGTGGTTCAACCAATTGGATCCGAAAATCAACCGGCGGCCGTTCGGCGAGGAGGAGGAGGAGAGGCTCCTGGCGGCGCACGAACTCTACGGCAACAAGTGGGCGCTGATCGCGAGGCTGTTCCCGGGGCGGACGGACAACGCCGTTAAGAACCACTACCACGTCGTCACGGCGAGGAGGCGCCGGGAATCCGGCTGCGTGCGGCGGAGATTGGTGGGAAGGAGGGGATTTTGTTCGTTTTCCGGCGCGGCGGAGGTCGGGAACGCCTGCAGCGAATCGACAGCAACGGTTTCAAGCGTCAGTTATGGATGTCCCGCTGCTGTCTCTGCCGGCACGGAGCTTTCTCTCTCTATGTCGCCGCCGTCTGTTGTTGACGGCGCGTATCAGGGGAATTTCGTGGGTTGTGAGACTGGTAAGTAGTAAGGTTAATTATGAATATTTAAGAAACTTACCCTGGACTTTTGCTAATTACATAACAATCCTTTTTTTGGTGATCATAGTTGCTTGGTATTATACAATCATTGTAAATTTGGGAAACAGTAAATCTTTTGTTAGGCAGCTAACATTAGACCAACGTACTATTTTTACAAATATAATTATAAATATTTTCATTAGATATATAAACAAAAACATAATATTAGTCTCAAAATTTAGGCAAATTTGCTTATAATATCACGACGTTTATCGAAGTTGCAATTTAATCATGGTATTTTTATTTTTGTAAATTATATTACAATCTTTATTTAGTCGCAAACAATTTGAAAACAGTTATAGAAAAGTTGATGTGGTCGAACAACAAATTGGAGATTGTGATATAGTTTGCACAAGATATGCAAATCAGTGCACCACTTTGCAACAAACTGAAGATTGTGATATGATTTGCAAAAGTGAAAAACTCGTGATTAAATTACAATTTCGAAAAATGTTACGATATTAAGGGCAATTTTGCCCAAAATTTATCTATTTTGATTTTGTATCAATCATTTTATTTTTCCTTTTTTTTTTTTCAGGAGAGAAGGGTATGATGATTGATATGGGAAGATGTGAGATCAAAATCCAAGGCAATATTAACAACATGCATGAAAAGGAAACTGAGTGTAATGCTCTAAATGCAGTGGCTCATCATCATCAACAACAACAGCAGCAGCAAAAATCAGATTCAAACTCTGAAAATTCTGCAACATGTGAGCCATCATTAGGCAACATCAACAGGTCCAATTATCTCTACATGTGTGGGGGGAAAAAGAAGAAGAAAGCTAAAATTACATTTATTGATTTTCTTGGTGTGGGGGCCACATGATAAAAATTAAAGGGTTTTGTACTTTTTTAATCAGGGCAGTGAAAAAAAAGTTTTACTGATCATGAGGATTAATCTTTGAATATCTATTTGGCAAGTGCCAAAAATGGCTTCTTTAGCTGTTGTCATTGATGAAAAAAGTGGGGATTATTTTCATATTTTACCTGAAGGAAGGAAGGAAATTTTAATGTCCCTTGATCATCAGTTTTGTGGTAAATAGTGAATTCCATAATGATAAGATAGTTTAAAATAAAAAATGACATTTATATTCGTTCTAAATATGTGGTTAGAGTGCTATTCTAGTCGTGCTCGTTTAATAAATAAGCCAAAGGCTCAGCTGGTTTAACGAAACCGAAATCATAAATGAACTATTTATAAAACAAATGTGTGCGCTTTGGAGCATGCTCGGCTCAGTTGTTTACTTGAAACTTGTAAATAATAATTAATAATAAATGAATTCAGATTGACTCGTTTAATGAATGAGCTCGATTACTTAGTTGAGTCGAATCGAGATGTGTTGACAAATAACTCTATTCAAATAACAATTCTCTATTTGAGGCTTACACATTTACTTTTTAATAGATTACTTTGATTTTGATTAAATGGAACTTAATTTGTTAATGAGCTTCACTATATAAGTGGGCAAAGTTTTCTTTTTTACTCAAGACTACATATACTACTAATCAATAAATCTGGCCACATCTCATGGATTTTTTAGGGTTGTTTGGTGTATTTATTTATTTATTTATTTTTTTTTTTTTCTTGTTTGGTGTACTTTATTGACCGTATGTACGGGAATAACTGACTTATTTATTTATTATTTATTTCTTTTGCATCCTTTTTGGTTTTCTTTGTTGATTATTTTTGTCCTTTTCAGAACTGTACGTGTGTTGGGGCTGTTGACTAACAAACTACAAACAGACTTATTTATTTTTTTGGTGGAAGAAAAGCCAAAGGCCTATGCTAGAATTCGTC